TGGAGAAGGACATCATGCTTGGGAGGGTGGAGGGACGGCGCAGGAGGGGAAGACCCTCTATGAGATGGATTGATTCGGTGAGTGGGGTAATCGGGATGGGTGTGTCAGAGGCAGTGCGATTGGCACAGGATAGAGCAAGGTTTAGGGCTGTTGTGCATAGGGTTGCTATGAGTCGCAAATGACTCGATGGCACATAACAACAACAACAACAACCACCTTTGTCTCCTAGCAGGCTGTCTCCCTAGCAGGCTGCCTCATCTGCATTGAGAAGGGCAGTGTAATTCTCCTTCAGGAACTGACCTTTGGCGGGAAGCTGCTTCCATACTTTCCTATTCTTGCACTTCCTACTGCTTTCGTTCAGATATGTCCAGAGCGCTAATCACATTGCCTGTGATTTTTTTCTTTTGCATATCTGGTCCTTGTGCTGTAAGCAGGAGAGTCTTAATGATGGGCTTTAGACTGGCAGAGTTATGGGAAGAAACAGAGATGACTAAATTTTTCTCAGGGGCTCTAGATATTTGGAGGAGTGGTAAAAGAGTCATCGTGGCTCAGGAGAATCAATTTAAGGCAAAGGGACCTTGTTAACTCCTGGGATCAGCTCTGGGGCCTGATGAGTTAAGAGTGGTATACAGGCCTAGAAGACGCAGTCTGTGTGTAGCCTCCTGGCCATTAAGGCAGGGGAATTGAAAGAACAGTAAGCTCAAAAATATACCGTCTTCAAGTATTACTATCTTATTAGTTGGTCTTACTATATTTTGTCTTCAAATAGAATTTTGTTTTTCTTCTCTCTGGAAAGTCCTGTGTTATGAACTATGCCTGCACCGAGTTCTAGACGCAGCACGAAGGAACCATCCAGATGTGTAATTGTACAGAATAGACACACCCTCTGTGATCATTAAAACCTCAACTATCATGCAGTTTGCTCCTGGAGCTGCAGGACAATGAGATCAGCACACTAAAGGTCTCCTTGCTCTGGGACTTGAGACTGGAGTAATTTGTGAGCTGACCAGACGTGGAGGAACAGCGCGCGGGCTGGGCGGGTCACAGGGACTTCAGGCGGGTGCGTGGAGTCCCTGCGCAGCTCCTTGCCCAGGCTGCGCCCCAACGAGGCTGAGCTGCGAGCTGGGCCGTAGGAAAGCGCTCCGGAGTGCACAGCTGGTGGGGTCCAGAGCTGGCGGAGCCGCGGGCGCTCCTGGCTGGATTGCCAAGCGCACCTTGAATGGATCCCTGAGTGTGGCTCAGGACCAGATTGAGTGCAGAGGGTCCAGCGGGTCTCCGGGAACCTGAGGTGAGCTCTGAAGGCTTTCTATGAGCTATTCTGGGGTGATAGGGCTCTGTACCTGAGGAGAGCCATTGTGGGGACCTCTTATCCCCAGGAAGATTGACTAGGGGATCTGGCCTCGGAAGGGTTTGGGGTATCTCGGGAGCGTCTGCTCAGCTCCCAGCCTAATATTTGTGGATGACAAAAGAGGTCCATCCTTTTGTTCTTGTCCCCTGAGAAGTGGCACCTGAGGAACCTAAGGTCCTTGGCTCCCAGCACCCCTGTCTCCTGCGACCCAGTCTGTTAGAGAGAAAGTTTGCATCTCACTGTCCAGCCTGTCGATTCTTTCTCCCCTTCCTGTAGGAGCCACCCTCTACGCTCGCCCTCCAGACGCTGCTGCCAACCATGGAGTCCCCGGTGCAGATCTTCCGTGGCGACCTGGGCCCCACTCACTTCCCAAGCGCTAACAGCAACAGCGGGTTCCCAGGCTGGGCTGAGCCAGACAGCAACAGCAGCGAGGGCCCCGAGGTCGCGCAGGAGCCCGCGCATATCTCCGCCATCGTCCCCATCATCATCACTGCTGTTTACTCCGTGGTGTTCGTAGTGGGCTTGGTGGGCAACTCTCTGGTCATGTTCGTGATCATCCGGTAAGCGGGGCCTCCGGAAGGAAGTGAAGGAGCCAGTCTGGGGGAGACACTGTGCAGGGTCCCTAGGTCAATACATTTTCTTTTTTTATTTTTTTTGAGAACTCTTTGGCGGTTGTCTTTGAGTTTCACCCTGGGCAAAACCTAACCGCCAGAGGACTCTGAATGAGCTCAGAGGGAACTCTGTCTGCCTTTCTCTCTCTGACAACTGAATGTGGGAGAACTGGGGGGTGGGGCTGGTGCAGAAAGATAGGTTTTATATTCTCTTGGAAAGAAGATCTAGTCCTGTTGTGTGAGCTTTTGCTAGCTGGCTGTGCCACTTTGAACGATTTTGTTTTGCTCTTTGTAGTATTTCTTAAGATAAACGTCAGGTCTGCTGAATACAATAGAAAAACTATTAAAAAAATGCCTGTGACTCATCAGATAGGTGCTGCAGTTTGTGAATTGCCAATATACTACCTAGTGTTGTTGATATACATATGCATGTGCCTTCTAGTACCGAAAAGATCTCTATGGCAAAGTGGTCATGCCTTGAATTACCAACTCTTGAGCCCAGCTGTTTGAACCACTAGTTGCTCCAGCAAGAAAGATGAGATAGTCTACTTCCATAAAAATGACAGCCAGTGGAATTCTAGGGACAGTTCTGTTTGACCTAGAGGGTCACTATGAGTCAGAATCGCTCATAAGATAATGGGTCTGTTTGGTTTGGGTTTTGATTTTTATTATTGAATTGTCATACAATTTATTTAGGATATGAGTGATATTCCTAACTTGGTGGTTTTCAAAAATTTCTTTTCCATCATGGATTATCTTATTGTAATTTCCTTTTATAGAATTGTATTGAAGTCAACTTCTGGTAGAAAGGAAAAAAAATTCAAAATATGTCCAGATGTATAAGAATTTTCTAGTCACAGAAAGCTGACTAGAGATTCTGATTGGGGCTTTTAAAAACAAACAAACAAACAAAAAAACACAACACAACTCAGCATGGCCTATGAGATCATGTCTCACACTGTGAGAGATGTAATGCTTTGAAACTGCACTTGCTACTATCAGTAAGAAGCTTGCATATCTTTGAGAAGTCTCTGAGATATTAAAGGAAAGATACAAGTTTCCCCATTTGGGGACACCAAAAGGATGAAGAACTAATTTCTTTTCCTATTTTGACTTTAGCTTTAAAATAGTTTCTTTATTTATTATAATAATGAAGAACAATATCTATAGTAGCATAATCTTACTCTTGGAGAATCTCCGTAATAAAAATACCGCTTTACTTTTGTTTTCTATTGGAGAAAAAGAGCAGATATTTTTTGCCTTAAATATGTTTAAAACTACATTTGAAAACTCAAAATATATATCTTAAGTATCACTTACATTTACAATTTGGCCTTTAATCCACCTGTTACAGGAATTCTACCAGTGATTAAGCAAAGGCCACAGAAAAGGGATACTTTCAAGACAAACTAACCTGAGGACTAATGACCATTTGAGAAAAGACTACATAAAACTGGCAGAAAATCTTCAGTTTAAACAATATTCAGTATTATCACTGTATTTTTCATGCAGAGACCATATTTTTTATTAAAAAAAAGATACTTAAAGATATTGGTACAAGAGGATGGTTGTTGTTATTGTTGTTAAGTGCCATTGAGTCATAACTCATAACGACCCTATGAACGAAAGACCTGTATACTAGTATTTTCATCATTTCTCCAAGTTCATAAAGTTTCCAGAAGCAAGCTATTTCAGAAGTGGATGCCACTCCTGCTTCCAAGCTTGTTTTAAGTGGGAACTCCAGCAACCACTGTCTACCATGGGTAACCATTATCGCATTTGACACATCAGTGTCACAGTGTTTACCACCACAGCAAACATGAGTTAACCTCTGTACAGCAAATGGACAGACTAGTGCTATAGCTCTTAGAAGAATATTTGACCAACAACAATTAAAACTAGACCTGAGGGCCACAGATTAAAATCACCCACCTTGGGCTTGGTAGCATAACTTTGTATCCACTAGGTCAATGTAGCTCTCTCATTGTTGTTGTTGTTAAGGACAGCTCTGTGTTCACTCATATTATATTTAGTTGCTTGAGTAAAACAATTACATCTTATTGTTGCTTGATAGAATACTTGAAATAATACTTTTAAGAAGAGTTTCCTTATTGTTAGATAATGTCTTATATGACTCTGCATCTAGGATTAGAAGAATGAAGAATCCTAAAATATGCGAAAATACTTGGGACCATTAGACATGACAGAAAAAGAAAATATTGCTGTTAAGTATCGTCAAATTGTGTATGACTCCATGAACAACTTATCTAAACCTGGTCCTATCCCATGCCATTTTCCCAGTCTCTGATATATGCAAGACCATTGCTATAGTCATAAATTGGAGCTTTTATACCAATCCAATGGTAGAATTCTTAATTTCCATGAAGGAGATTCAAGTTTAATTCCTGGTCATTGTATTCACCTCATGGTTTGTCATGACCCATCTGTCATTGGGAGCCTGCATCATGCTATGAAGCTGAACAGATTTTAGGAGGGAGTCAGTTACACTAAGACAGGGAAGGAAGAAAGGCCTGATGATATACATTTAAAAGAAATCAAATTTGGCAATGAAACACTTATAGATCATAATCCAATCCTGTTGTGCATGATTTATCTGTGAGTCAGAGGTTAACTAATGATTGACAACAACTCTTTTGGGGAAAATCACAACACACACACACACGCCACCCAGGATATGACCTAAAGATTACCAGGGCTAAAAATTGCTAGGTGAGAATAAACTCAGCTAAGAAATGAAAGTAAGTCGATAAAATAATTATTAAAAGGATGGCATCCCACCAATGCACTTGGAGATTATTGTTGTTGTTGTTGTTAGGTGCCATCGAGTTGTGGACGACTCATAGCGACCCTATGAACAAAAGGCCTGAGCACTGTTCATAGAGTTTCTGGAGGCAAACCATTTTGCAAGTGGATGCCACTCTTGCTTCCAAGCTTGTTATAATTGGGAAGCTCCACCAAACACTGTCCACCATGGGTAGACCATAAATATAAAAATGAGTAATTTTAACGGTTATCTTGGAGTAATAATTTATAGCTAGTTTATAGCTAGGACGGTTAAAGATTATTTTAAATTTGCATAAAGAGAAAGTAATTGAAAAATTAAACCCAAAAATGATAGTTACTACATATGTATTTCTTTAGATCAGTTGAAGAAAGGACTGAAGAATTCAGAGAATACTGTATCAAGAGGCTCCTGCATGATTGTGAGAGCTGAGAGCAAGACAGGTTGTTGTATACCATCAAATCAGAACTAGTTCATTGCTGACACTCTGGCAGGTTTTCAGAGGCAGTTAATGGCACAGGTGGAGATTGCCCATCTTTCTTGCACAAAGGAGCTGGTGGATATGAGCCTGGTGCCTTCAAATTGGCAGCACAGCTCCTTGTCATTATGCAACCGCAACTCCCTAGGACAGGAGAAGAGGAATTCAAATGTTACTTTTATGATCAACATTGAGTGTGATGGATGTTGCTTGAAAAGCTAGAAGACAGAATAAGAACATCATTTGAAAGTGTCATACATGGCAAAGAGTTATTGGTTGGCTCAGTATTACAGATGATTCCAGAAAGGAAAATTTAGAGGCTCAGCTGGTTGAACATATGAAGAGGATTGCTAACTCTAATCTGAAGGAAAGGACAGAGCTGTGGAATAAGCTCTGTGTTGTTTTGAATTTGTTTGGGGTTGGCTTGTTTTGTGGTTGGTTTTGGGTTTTTTCCCCCTGGTCTTGGTAGTAGGGATATTGTAGCTAAAGTTAAATGGATGTTGGCTGAAAGCAGAGAGTAACAGAGCAAAGTCTACCTGTGTTTCGTTGATTATGCAAAGGCATTTGACTGTGTGGGTCACGACAACTGCCTGACTCTGAGAAGAATAGGAATCCCAGAACACTTGATCGTGCTAATGCAAAACCTATACTTGGACCAGGAGGCAGTTGTCAGAACAGAGCAAGGAAACACTGCATGGTTCAAAATGGAAGAGTGCATGCTAGGGATGTGTCCTATCTCTATACCTTTTCAACCAATTGCAGAACAGATTATCCGGAAGATTGAGCTGTATAAGAAGAAGTGTGGCATCAGTATTAGAGGAAGATTCATCAACAATCTGCGTTATGCTGATGACACAATCCTGATCACTGAAACTGAGGAGGACCTGAAGTACTTGCTATAGAAGGTCAAGAACTGCAGCCTTCAATATGGCTTGAGGCTCAATATCAAGAAGACAAAGATTCTCACCACTGGGTCAATTGGCAGCATCAGGATGGATGGTGAAGAGATTGAGATTATTCACAGCTTTAGTTTGCTTGGCTCCACAATCAACACTCTTGGCACCAGCAGCCAGGATATTAAAAGGCATATTGTGATGAGAAAGTCTGCTCTTAGAGACCTCTCCAAAGTACTGGAGAGCAATGGTGTCACTCTGGAGACTAAGGTTGACCTGATACAGGCCATGGTCTTTGAAATTACTTGTTATGCATCAGAGAGCTGGACAATGACTAGTGATGATAGAAGGAGAATTGATGCCTTTGAGCTGTGGTGTTGGAGAAGGGTATTGAATATACCATGGACTGCTAAGAAAAGGAACAAGTTCATCCTGGAGAGGGTTAAAACAGGCTGCTCCTTGGAGGCAAGGATTCTGAAGCTTCATCTGACATACTTTGGACATGTTGCAAGGAGGGACTAGTCCTTGGAGAAGGGTGTCATGCTTGGGAGGGTGGAGGGACAGGGACAGGAGAGAAAGATCCTTTATGAGGTGGATTGATTCAGTGACTGGAGTCATTGGGGTAGGTGTGTCGGAGACCGTAAGGTTGGCACAGGATAGAGCAGGGTTTAGGGTTATTGTACATAGGGTCTCTATGAGTCACAGGTGACGTGACAGCACATAACAACAACATAACACCATCTAAATAGTTTTTCCCACCTAGACTGTTGCCTAG